GCCCACGGGCTGAGTGGGAACTGGCTGGCGTACTGGCAGTATGAGATTGGTGTGAACCAGCAGGATGCCCACTTCCACTTCCACCAGATCCGCCTGCAGAGCTTCACCGGCCACTCAGGGGCTGTCAAGTGTGTGGCACCCCTGAGTAGCGAGGACTTCTTTCTGAGTGGCAGTAAGGATCGTACTGTGCGCCTCTGGCCACTGTATAACTATGGGGATGGTACCAGTGAGACAGCCCCCCGACTCATCTATGCCCAGCACCGCAAGAGTGTCTTCTACGCAGGCCAGCTCGAGGCTCTGCAGTATGTGGTGAGCTGTGACGGGGCTGTGCACGTCTGGGACCCCTTCACAGGTGAGCGGGCCCAGGTGAGGCCTGTTTTGTTGCTGCTGGACCTCGCTCTGACAGGCCCCTGGGAATTGATCCTGAGAGTTGGGGGATATAGTGGTATGTTTTAGGGAGAGATTCAGTGAGGCTATATAGAGGAGCAGTTAGGGCTTAGAATGTTTTAGATCTGCATTTGCATCAGCTCCACCACCTTACTTGCTTGTGAACTTGAGCAAGTCCTTGTGCTGTTGGAAGCGTTGATTTTCCCATCTGTAAAGTAGGAATTAGAAAAAGTGGTTTAGAAGATAACACACTTAGAGGTTTGGCTTGATGCATGTAGTACAAGTTTGGCAAACCATTGCTTAATTACTCATTGGCATCATCATAGGGAAAATATGGTTAAAGAGGAGAAGGGAAAAAATAAAAGGGACAGGTGTAATGTTGGGACAGAAAGAGGGAGATGGTATCTAATCAGGGGATACTGTGTAAAGAGAAGCCATTGCTTTGGGAATGGGAGCCTGATCTGGTCATGGAAGCAGGAAGGCGGGAGAGTCTGGAAACATCTTTAGCATTTTCTGAGTATCCTTGGGGAATGAGAGACAGGGGACAAGAAAGAGTCAGGGTTCTTCCCTCAGCTAGGACCCCAGATCCACTGTGCCCTTCCTTTTCAGGGAAGACACTTCGCACAGTGGAGCCATCGGACAGCCGTGTGCCCCTGACTGCTGTGGCTGTCATGCCTGCCCCCCACACCAGCATCACCATGGCCAGCTCTGACTCTACCCTGCGCTTTGTGGACTGCAGGAAGCCTGGCCTGCAGGTCAGGGGATATGCAGTTTCCTGAGCTCAGGCCTGGTTCTCTGGGGACCTGGCAGGGAGGACACCCATCAAGACAGAAAGGCAGACTGCTGCCCTGGGGCTCTGGTTAATTTCTCTTTGGAGATAAATCATCCTCAGCAGCAACCCTGGGGACAGGACTCTGGCTTATGATGGGGTGGGTTCTGGGCTTTTCCTTTCCTCAGATGGGGCCAGAGGCTCAGGCTTTCTGGCTGTAGAAGCTTAAATGGTGAGCGGGACCTAGGGGCGAGAGGGTGGGGTGACTTAGTGACAGCGCCTCAACAGAGTCTCCCTCTGTCTGCAGCACGAGTTCCGCCTGGGTGGCGGGCTGAATCCTGGGCTTGTCCGCTCCCTAGCGGTCAGCCCCAGTGGCCGTAGCGTCGTGGCTGGCTTCTCCTCAGGCTTCATGGTGCTCCTGGACACTCGCACAGGCCTGGTTCTACGAGGCTGGCCAGCTCATGAGGGGGACATTCTGCAGATCAAGGTGATGGGCTCAGTTCCCGTCTACTCCTTACTACCCAACCTCGGTTCATCACCTGGGCTCAAGGCGCACCTAGGGACAGGCTTGAGCTGGTGTCCCTTATATCTGCTCAAGGCCTGATGGGCAGGGAAGGTGGCTCTTCTGGGCCAACTCAGGTGCCAGCTGCACTGCTGGGGCCTTGGCAGGAGATAGGCCGTGGAGGCGGGGACCAAGGGCAGAGCTGACCCTGCAGCTCCATGGAGATGTTCTAATGAGTAACCCTTGTCCATATTTGTCTTGCTTGGAGGGTCAGGGGTCGGGCCCTGTCCGTGACCCAATTCAGGTTAAATAAAGCTCAGCTGGGAGGCTGTTTACTGCCCCCAGACCACTGAGCAGAGTCCATGCCCCCTGCTGGGCTGCTCTGGTGGGGGCAGGAGCAGGCCTGGGCATGGGGATCCTACTCTCCACCACCCCATTTTCAGTCACAGGCCTGGGGACTAGTTAGCAGTCCAGCAGGGGAGGAGGGCTACTTGTGGGGAAGATTTCTACAGGCAACTGGAACTCTCTTCCCCAGCTTGGGTGGAGACCATGTGTTGTTGTTGCTGAGGCCAGGCTGTCCCCATCTCCCTTCAGATTTCAAGTATCTCTAAATTCTGACATTCTAAGAAAGTGTCAGAAAGGCCTTGGTATTAATCTTGGTTCTGCCACTTACTAGCTCTATGATCCTGTTAGGATTAATTAATTTCTGTGAGCCTCATTTTTTTCCTCTGAAAAATGGGGACAATGGCAGCATCTCCCCCATAGGGTTGTCCTGAAGATTAAATGTGGTCATTARTATGGGCAGCATGCCTAGCATAATACCTGTGAATAGTAAGTTCTCAAATGAGAGAATGATTAGGTTAATGACACTGAATATATCAATGTTAACTATGGTTAATATGATGTGGCAGGGTGGCAGCCTGTCATCCCTCAAGATGGCCTGTCTGAGCTGGGCACTGTGGCTCATGCCTGTAATTCCAGTGGTGTGGGAGGCTGAGGCAGGAGGATTGCAAGTTAGAGGCCATCCTCAGAACTTAGTGAGACCCTGTCTCTAAATAAAATATAAAAAAAGGCTTTGGATGTGGCTCAGTAGTTAAGTGCCCCTGGGTCAATCCCTTGTACTCCCCCCACAAAAACCAAACAAAACAAAACAAGGCCTGTCTCTCCTGGGCAAAGTGGGAGGCAATGGGTGTACAGGTGGGTCCAGGCCGTTGCTGAGAATCTCCTCTTCTCTGGCAGGCAGTGGAAGGCAGTGTCCTGGTCAGCTCCTCCTCTGACCACTCCTTGACCGTCTGGAAGGAACTGGAACAGAAGCCCACACACCACTACAAGTCAGCATCCGACCCCATCCATACCTTCGACCTCTATGGCAACGAGGTGGTCACTGGCACTGTGGCCAACAAGATTGGTGTCTGCTCCCTGCTTGAGCCACCCTCCCAGGCTACCACAAAACTCAGTTCTGAGAACTTCCGTGGCACACTCACCAGCCTGGCCTTGCTGCCCACTAAACGCCATCTCCTGCTGGGCTCGGACAATGGTGTCATTCGCCTCCTGGCATAGGCTGAGGGACCAGTGGGCTGGCATCTCCCTAGAGTCTAGATCTTCAACCTTGTTCCCCCAGCAGCTCCCTAGAGGCTGCCCCCAGTCCCCTTGCCCTGCCAGCTAAGGCCTCCACCTGAGATTCCAGCCCTTGAATCCTCAAAGCCACGAGGCTGCCAGAGGTCTCCCATTCAGGGCTTGGGAGATGCTGCTCCTAGTCAACGGGAAGCAAGGAGAGCAGGGAAGGCATCTCGTTTCTCCCCAGCTCTGCCCTCTGGATCCACATGGGGATCCACAAGGAAGCTCCAGGAAGGGGAAGGGAGACTGGCCTTGCCAGCTAGTCTCTAGGAAAGCCCCTGCCCCTTTCTGGGCTCTCTCTGTCCCTGTCCCTCAAGAACAGGAAGCTGCCCCAGAGGAGGGCACTGATGGTGCTTGGATTCCAGCCTAAGGAGGGATGACCATGATCCAGGAGTTAAGGGCCTTGGTCTGGGGTTTAAGTGTTCACCCAGCCTGCCCCAGAAAGAGGGCAGAACTGGATACAAAAGGTGGGCTGGGCCAGCTGGTGCCTGCCAGGAGTGACCTATGCCTTGTCTGCCCACCCCTAACCACAGTGTTTGTGCCTTGAGCTGAGGAGGTAGCCTCTGGGCCCAGAACCTCTGGAGGTGTCCAAGATCCTGAGGGGGAGAGAAGACTCATCTCTGCATCTCAGGTCTCTCCCAGGGGACAGAACCAGTCATCTCTGGGTCCTTAGCTGGAGCAGACATGAGGACTGAGGCTCATGGCCCCTGCTGCCTCCTTACTATTTGCAATAGATGTAAATATTACATAAATCCTTTGGAAGAGCCATGGAGTAGAGTGAGCTGTCTTTTTATTTTCTTTTCCTTTCTTCCCTTCCTTCTTTCCTTCCTTTTGGTACCAGGGATTGATCCCAGAGGTGCTTAACCACTGAGCCACATCATCAGCCTATTTTATTTTTATTTTGAGACAGGGTCTCACTAAATTGCTTAGGGCCTCACTAAATTGCTAGGGCTGTCTGAACTTGAAAGCCTCCTAAGCCACTGGGATTACAAGCTTGCGCCACCCGGTCTGGGTCTCTTTTTTTGAGACAAGGTATCACCATGTTTCCCAAGCTTGCCTCAAGGGATGCTCCTGGTTGACCTCCCAAGTAGTTGGAGTTATAGTCGCACACCACCAAACCAAACTTATGACTTGTCTTAATGGTGGTGGCAGGGTGGGGACAATTGAAACTCAGCAGCTGGGTCTAGGAGATGAAGAACAGGGAAAGCAGCCTGATTGTTATTGCTCTTTGGGTGGCAGAGGGTGCAGGGCTTCTAGTTGGTGCAGCCTCAAGTCAGTTTTCCAAACCCTCATTCTTAGGAAGAGTAAGCAAGTCTTGTTCCTCATGAGGTAGGACACTTGTGGAGACTGCAACCCTCTCTCTCCTCTCTCCATGCCCTGACTTCTGGCTCACGCTGAACAGCCAGCCAGGATCTGGGGTTTGTAAGGGATGGGGGTGGGTCTCTGCATAGGCTTGTGCAGCCTCACCTTTCCTCCCCTTGGGATGGGGAGGCAGCTGTGGGGGGGGAGGGGGGGACACTGGAAGCAGGAAACTGGATGTGACTCTGGATCCAGCTCTGTGTCCTTGGGCAGGGCACATAGCCTCTCTGAGCTGGACTGAACAGGGATAATCTCCACTGGGAGGTCTGACATAGTGCGAGACCCCTGTGTGTCCTGGTCTTGGCTGACCAGATCCAGCGTCCTCAACTGTCTCCTTCTGAACGTCCTTTCTCCAGGCTCAGGTGGATCCAAATCCACAGAGGCTTTGGGTAACTGTTTCAAGACTAGATACCCCTGTAGAAAAGGGGCTTCTGGCACTCATATCAATGTTTAACCGGATGTTCAGGTCAATATTTACCAGAAGAGAAAGCTATCTGAACAGGGGTTGGCTAAGAGCAAAGGTCCTGGTAGGAGGGGAGGGCTAGGCTGGGCTGGTGGAGCCCGCCAGAGCGTGGGGAGCACCGAGTTGGGCCAGAGGAACATCGTGTGCAGCAGCAAGGAACCTGTCGAGGTAGGGTGGAGGGGTGGCTCAGCCTGCCCCTGGGGCAGGAGTGGAGGTGGGGAGCTGCTTACTTGGCTGAGGGGTCTGGGCTGAATTTATTCAGGAAGCCTGTAGTTTTGCAGCCTCCTGGGGTAATGAGGAGTCAAGGTGGGGGTTCCAGAAGAAGTCCCTCTGGGACTTGAGAGATAAGGTCTTTCTTGCTAGGAAGAGTCAAATGCCCAGGTTGGAGACCAGGCTGGCCAAGGGCCCTTGTATGTGATGGGGGTGGGCTCAGGAATGATAGAAGGATCCTCTAGAAGGATTGGCCCTGAGATAGGGGAGGGATAGAGATGGGGGATGTGAGACCATCTCTTAGGCCAAGGCTGGGGCTGATTTATCCTCCCCTAAATCAAGACATGCTACTGGGCGTGGTGGCACATGCCTATAATCCCAGCGGCTTGGGAGGCTGAGACAGGAGAATAGCGAGTTCAAAGCCAGTCTCAGCAAAAGCAAGGCGCTAAGCAATTCAGTGAGACCCTGTCTCTAAATAAAATACAAAATAGGGCTGGGAATGTGGCCCAGTGATCGAGTGCCCCTGAGTTTAATCCATGGTTACTCCCCATCCCCCGCAAAAAAAAAAAAAAGACATGCCCATTCCCACCTATCAGCCTGATTTTCCTGAACTGGCGTGGAACAGAGCAGGGGGCGAGGCTTGTGATTCCCGTAAGTCCAAAGGTGGCTGGACCAGTCATTCATTGGGCTCTGCTGCTGGGTCAAAGAGGCAGTCCTCTGTCCACCCCACCACGCCTGCTGAGCCTCAGGGCTTCACGGTCCTGTCCACTATTGTTGGCAATACCCGACCAACCTGAGAAAGACTGACCAAACAGACGGCAGGCTGGGTAGGCTCTCTGGTGTGGGAGCCCTTCCGAGAGGCTCAGGACAGGCTTCCACCGTAGTGGCCCTGGAGCTAGCCTGCCAGCTTTCTTCCACAGAGGGCCAGGCCTTGTACTCAGCATTTATAAAGACTGTCTTTTTTTGGTTCTCACAATCCACATGGGAGGAGGCGGGGACTTCTGCCACCATTTTCCAAGACAAGGCAGGTACCTGAGGCCTCCAGCCAAGAGGCAGAGCCTAGATGCAAACCCATGTCTGATGAACAATGCAAGCCCTAGAAGAATGAGAACGCTTTAACAACTCCCGATGAACCAAAATGTCCTTAGTGAATGAAATGGGAAGACCTAGAAACGACAAAGGCGAAAACAGTTGGAGGGAATCCCATCCTTCAGATTGAGAACCACTGCTAGTGTGTTTTTAGTGTGCATCCTGGTTCTGTAGCTTGGCTGAGTCAGGGTATGTGTGGGTAGGATTCCACCACCTGGTGTGGGAGCTTGAGGTGGAAACTAAGCCTTCCTGTCCCTGACACAGGAACATGGCACTGCTCCGAGGGCTCCTGGTGCTCAGCTTGTCTTGCCTGCAAGGCCCCTGCTCCGTGGTGAGGTTGGGCTGAGTTCTGGGTGGGGCTGGTCAGTCAAGTTGAAGAAGTGGCTGGTGGGGGAAAGCCGTGGGGCTGAAGGGGTTTGGGTCCAGGGAGGGCTTGGCTCAAGGGGGCTCCCCTACCTCGCCTCACCCTTTTCTCAACAGTTCTCTCCTGTGAGCGCCATGGAGTCCTTGGACCAGCAAGTAATGGGCGATGAGGTGCATGTGAGAGAAGGGAGGACCTGAGGGGTCTCGCCTGTGGCTTGGGCAGGGTGTGGGACCTGTAGAGAGGATCGCTCTCCATCTGCTTCCTCCTTCTGCAGTCAATTATCGGGCAGGCCCAGGAGAAGCTGTCCCCGCTTGCCCTCCTCAAGTTGGGCAACCAGGTACAACCAGGTGGGGCTGGGGAAGAGTGGGCAGGGCCAGAGGGAGAAGGGCCAATCAGCAGGGGTGAGGAAACTGGGAGGCGTGGCCGTGAGGCTGAACCTCAGGGGTTCAGAGGCCAGAAGGGATCGGGTAGGAAGGACCCTCAGGTGGCCTCCCACTACCCCAAGGGCTGGGACAAGGCCCTGCCACAATCAGGCACAGGGTCTATGAAGGAGACATTCAATGTAGTACCTGGAGCTGACGCTTCTGACCTCACTGCCCACAATCTGTCCTTGTAGGAGCCTGGTGGCCCAACTGCCCTGAAGAGGTCCCCAGGAGACTGCAAAGGTGCCCCAACTCCAGAGGAGACTCGCAGGCTGGCCCAGGCCATAATGTCATTCACCGCTGATTTGTTCTCCCTGGTGGCCCAAAGTTCCACCAGCCCCAACCTCATCCTGTCGCCCTTGAGTGTGGCCCTGGCTCTGTCTCACCTGGCACTAGGTACTGTGGCAGCACCTATCCAGACCAGCAGAACTGAGAGGCCAGTAGGAACTCACTACTCCAGAGGTTATCAGTGGATGGCTCCTTCATCAGGGTCACATGGACATTTGGTAAAAATGCAGATTCCTGGGCCCTCACCAGTCTCTGTGAATCAGATTCCCAGGGATTGGGCCTGACAATGTGTTTATTTACAAGTTTCTCTAGTGATTTTTGTGCAAGAGTTTGATAGCTATGATATCTCCCACTGGACTCGAGGGTCTCCTTGTGGGAAACTGAGGTCCAGAGAGGAAAGGTAACTTGAGCAAGATGAGGCCAGTCTGTGAGCAGCATAGATGAAAGTAGCCTTCAGGAGTCCTGTCAGTCAGTGGATACAGGGAGAAAGCATGGGCTTTGTGGGCGTACTCATCGTGGGTATCTGAGAGGGCTGGAATGGGAAGTGGGGGTGGAAAAGAAGCCCCCACCAGGGCCTCAGCCCACATGGTCTCCTCCAGGTGCTCAGAATCAAACACTGCAGAGCTTACAACAGGTACTGCATGCAGACTCAGGATCCTGTCTCCCCCATCTGCTGAGCCACCTCTGTCAGAACTTGGGCCCTGGGACCTTTCGATTGGCTGCCAGAATGTACCTGCAAAAAGGTAGTGCCCTGCATGGGAGAATGGTGAGGGAGATGGATTTGGCCTCACATGATCAGCTGGAATATTGGTGGCTATGGAGGCCCCAGCCCCTGGGAACAGCTTGTGTGGCTCTTTGTGTTTAGGATTTCCCATCAAAGAGCATTTCCTGGAGCAATCAGAACAGCTCTTCCGTGCAAAGCCCATGAACCTGGTGGGAAGGCAGGAGGATGACCTGGCGAACATCAACCAATGGGTGAAGGAGGCCACAGAGGGAAAGATTGAGAATTTCCTCTCAGAGCTCTCAGATAATACCRTATTGCTTCTCCTCAATGCCATCCACTTTCAGGGTACACTTCTCTGCCTAGAAGCTCTCCCCTTGCCCTACAGGCTGAGTGGGGTTGTGTAGGCTTTCTTCCGAGGGTCTCTTTTCCACCTCAGGCTGGGCCATGAGGCAAGGGGCTCTCTGGGTGGAGTAGGGAAGGGGCTCAGGAACTGGGATGAGGCGGTTGAAGATAGAGTATCTTGGGAGAAAATGGGGGGCCAGAAAGACCCAGGGGGGTTCCTGGGAGCATTGCGGGGGGAGGGGAATACAAGCCCAGATTTAGAAATGTGGGAAGAAAACTCAAATTAACAGCACCCCCTGGGGTCTTGGCCTCTACTTCTTGACCCTTGACTGGGTTCTAGGGAGGATAGGCAAGAGCCTGGTCCTAGGCTACATGGCCTCTGCCCTCTGCCTGGCTGCAGGTTTTTGGAGGACCAAGTTTGACCCAAGCCTCACCCAGAAAGACTCCTTCCACTTGGACGAACAGTTTACGGTGCCAGTGGACATGATGCAAGCCCATTCCTACCCCCTGCGCTGGTTCTTGCTGGAGCAGCCTGAGATACAGGTCACCCTTGCTGGGCCTGGGTGTTGGGAGGCAGGGAAGGGGGGAGGCAGGCTGTGGAGTAGTTTTACAGGGGTGAAGCGGATGCCCCGCTTTCCTTGCAGTCTTAACCCTGAGGCAGGAGGCTCTGAAAGGCAGCACTGTGACTCCACCCAGGAGAACTGAGGCTGCAGGATCTTTGAAGTTTATTAAGTCAATGAAATTATACTGAGCATTTGCTGTGTGTGATACTGTTCTACACACWGTGGGTTTTAGTGGAGATCAGGGTCCTACTCTTAGGAGGGAAGATACACAGTGCATGAGCAAATATAAATCAACACCATCAATTGTTTTTATTTTAATTTATATTAATTTTAATTTTTTTTGAGGGGCGGGGGGTACCAGATATTGAACTCAGGGGCGCTTAACCACTGAGTCACATGCCCAGCTTTTAAAAATTTTATTTAGAGACAGGGTCTCACTGAGTTGCTGAGGCTCTCACTGCATTGCTAAGGCTGGCTTTGAACTCTCAATCGTCCTGCCTCAGTCACTGGGATTACAGGCGTGTGCCACTGCACCTGGCACACAATCATTTTGGATAGAGTTAAGTCCTATAAAGGAAAAAGGAAGGAAGGAAGGGAGATCTGTAGTGATATGGTCAGGGAAAATTATTTCAAGAGGAGGCACTGACTTGAGATCTAGATGCCTTTTGGTGATATGGGTTTATTCCAAGGACCTGAAGTTTGTGGGGCAGCAGAGGGACAATCCCAGCAGCCAGGTAGCTACTCAGTGCCTTAGTAACCCCCAAGCCTTGGAAATTCCACTGGCTCTCTCACACAGTGCTGCTTAGAAGGAAGGATCTAAACCAGGCACCATGGCTTAGGTCTGTGATCCCAGAAATTTGGGAGACTGAGACAGGAAGATCACAAATTCAAGGTCAGCCTGGGCAACTTAGTGAGGCCTTCAAGAACTTAGCAAGATGGGCTGGGGTTATGGCTTAGTGATAGAGCACTCACCTAGCATGTGTGAGGCTCTGGGTTCAATCCTCAGCACCACATTAAAAAAAAAATGAAATAAAGATATTGTGTGTCCACCTATAACTAAAAAAAAAAAAATTAAAAAAAGAGCTTAGCAAGACTCTCTCAAAATTTTAAAATAAATAAATTTTAAAAATGGATGTAATAAATTATGGTATAGTGGTATATTAAGAATTATAATATAAAAATAAATAAATAAAATTTAAAAAAAAATAGAAGGATCCAAGTCGGGCATATTGGTGCTTGTCTGTAATCCCAGCAATTTGGGAGGCTGAGGCAAGAGAATGGCAAGTTTGAGGCCAGACTGGGCAATGTAGTAAGATTCTGTCTCAAAATCAAATTTTGAAAAGGTCTAGGAGTATAGCTCAGTGGTAGAGCACTCGCCTAGGATGGCTTCTCTCCATTCCATCCTGAAAGAAGGCCTTCTCTTCCTTCATTCTTCATCTCCATTTCCCCATCCTCTTTARCCTTCCTCTTTCTCAGGCCCAGGAAACCAGACCTAGTGCTCCTCTCCCTGCGGGCAGGAGGCCTGCACACAGGTGCTCTGCTAGAACCCAAGGAGTTTCAGCTACAAAAGCGCCTTGAGCCTAGTGCCTTAGCTGCAGGAACTCTCACCCTGAAACTCAGTGTATATTCATAGCTGACAAAATCACTGCATGAAGTGAGAGGGAGAGGGGAGGGGACTACCTTTTGCAGTGGCTCCTGCACAGAATTCTAGGTTAGTTTGAAAACCAGTGACCCAGCTGGGCATGGTGGCACATGCTTGTAATCCCAGCAGCTTGGGAGGCTGAAGCAGGAGGATCGTGATTTCAAAGCCAGCCTCAGCAATGGTGAAGTGCTAAGCAACTCAGTGAGACCCTGTCTCTCAATAAAATACAAAAAAAGGGCTGGGGATGTGGCTCAGTGGGTCCAGTGCCCCTGAGTTCAATCCCCAGTACCAAAAAATGAAAAGAAAAATAAAAACAGTGACCCCCTCACATGGAGAATATCAGAAGCAAAGACAGGTGGTTCTTTAGCCCATTCATATGGCTAGATGTACAAGATGAAGAGAGAGACATTATTTATTTCTAGTACTAGGGTTAACACCAGAAGAGTTTTACCATTGAGCTACAGCATCCCCAGCCCTTTTTTAATTTAAAAAAAGTCTTTGGACAGTTTTTTACTAAGTTAGGGCCTCGCTAACTTGCTAAAGCCAGCCTCAAACTTGTGATCCTCTTGCTTCAGCCTCCCAAGTCACTGGAATTAGTCATGGGCCACTGCACCAAGTGAGATAGCTTTTATTTATTGAGCGCAGCCTGAGTCCAGACACTGCTAGAATAAAAACATTATCTTGTCCCGTCTCATGTCAGCTTGCAGTGGGGCAGGAGATGTTGCTCCACCTCACCAGGTGAGGAGGTAAAGGCTTGATCAGGATAGACTTGAACCCCAGTCTATCTGTCTCAAAAAGTACATTCTGGACCAGACTCCAGGTAGGTTTGGATGCTTTCTGATACTCATGTTCTCGCCTTCCTCTTTGTAGGTGGCTCATTTCCCTTTTAAGAACAACATGAGCTTTGTGGTGATGGTGCCTACCCACTTTGAGTGGAACGTGTCCCAGATACTGGCCAACCTGAGCTGGGACACTCTGCACCAGCCCTTGCTGCGGGAGAGGCCCACCAAGGTGCGGCTGCCTAAACTGCATCTGAAACACCACCTGGACTTGGTGACCACACTCAGCCAGCTGGGTAAGGAGGCTTGGCGTGGGGCTGGGCAAGGAGAAGACTGACTCAGAGCTGGCTCTGAATCCTGACGTTTTCTAGAGGTTGGGGGAGGGTGAGAGTGTATTATATGAGTCCTTTGTCCTTCTGTCCTGGGGTGAACTGGGGCAACCCAGGGTATGAGGAGCTACAGTGCTGCCCAAGAGAGAGCACTGCAAAGACTCCTAATAGAGAGCCCAGGGCAGCATATGAGCCTTGCTGACTCTCCTGGAAGGGGTTGGAGAAGCTGGGGTGCATCTACCTATCAGCCATTTGCTAAGCAACTTCTAGATTCCAGGCACTGTGCTAGGCACTGAGAACCCACACTATAAAGAATGCTCAGTCTAATGGGGTGGGCACCCAGGGATTCAGGAATTTATAGTCCATCATAAGTGATAAAGACACAGGGCTTTTCTCCGGCTCACCCAGGGGAATACTGAGCAGGTACCCACTCTAGATTTTGGGGCTGGGGATCAGGGAAGACTTCCTAGAGGAAGTGATATTTAAGCTAAGACTTGAAGGTTAAACAGGAGTTAAGTAGCAATCTGTGGATTCAAGGTGTTCCCTGGCCAAGGTGCTAGACAGGCCCAGGCAGCCTGGGGGAGAGAGGGTGGTCCTGACCAGCTGTCTGCTGCCCTGCACAGGCCTGCAGGAGCTGTTCCAGTCCCCAGACCTGCGTGGGATCTCAGACGAGAGGCTGGTGGTATCCAGTGTGCAGCATCAGTCCACGCTGGAGCTCAGTGAGGCTGGTGTGGAGGCAGCTGCAGCCACCAGCACGGCCATGTCCCGCATGTCCCTCTCCTCCTTCAGCGTGAACCGCCCCTTCCTCTTCTTCATCCTCGAGGACACCACAGGCCTGCCCCTCTTTGTGGGCAGTGTGAGGAACCCCAACCCTGGCGCACAGCCTGAGCTCCAGGAGCAGCAGGATTCCCCTGACAACAGGGACTCCTTCCAGGACCAGAAAGCTTTCCTCCACAGAGATAAGCCCTTTGGCCCTGACTTGAAACTCATGCCACCCTCCGAGGAGGATTACTCTGAGTTTAACAGCCCCAAGTGAGGGCCCTGGTCACCAGCATCCTGAGTCCCCATCCGGACCAGCCTCTCAACTTGTGTGACTCTTTCCAACCAGCTTTGTGGGATGGGGGCGGGGGGGGCGGGGGGGGCGGGGGGCGGCGGGCTGGGTGGGTCTTCTGGGAAAGGGGAGGAGCCATTCTCTCCCAGCTCTTCCTGGGGAGTCTGGGGAATGGGCTGGGGCCGGAAGCCAGCAGGCGTTAGGGAATGTTGGGCTGGATCCCTCTTCATTTCTTCCAAAGAAGCTCAGAAGTTGTCCTTTTGAGGGCTAGGGTATTAGGACAGTGGTGGATCCGGTTTTGACAGGAAGCAAACTAGGTTAGTCCCTAAATCAGCCGGGGCACTGGAGGGAGGGCTGTCTTTGGCCTTATCCCTGAACTCTCTGGCTGGGGAGAAGAGAGGCCCTGGTGGTGGCTCAGAAGGCAGAGCATTGCCCTGGGTTCCACCTCTGTCTCTCATAGGACCTTGTATCCTTCTTGTATCCATAGGTCAAGGTTGACATTACCTCTGATGTAACCTGCTAAAGGCCTACCAGCCTCCAGCCTACCCCAGATGTCCTGCCCACTCCCGGTCTCCTGTCCACACACCCTCATCCTTAGAGATGCCAACACTGCCAGGATTCCCCTTCCTTCCTCTCTCCTGTCTTCCTCCTCAGCCGGGAGCTCAGGGGCTGAGGCAGGGAAGGGTCTCATTAGCTCTCTCAGGCAATTTTGTAAAGTTTTTGTAGTGATTTTTATGCCACCTGAATAAAGAATGAATGGGCTGGGCTGTTTGGATGTCACTGTTCTGAGTAGGGCCGTAGGGCCGAGAGCAAGTGGGGGCAGAGGGGAGGCAGGGAGGCGGCCACAGAGCAGACTGCAGTGAGCCCTCTCTGTGCCACGTTTGGTCTCTGGCCAAATGCCAGTCCTCTCCAGGGCCACCTCCATGCCAGCCTGGCTCTGCTCTCAGCCTTTTCCTCTCCACATGCCTCAGGCAGCCGGCAACAAAGGCAGCTCAGAATAGCCCCGGCCTCCTGGTTTGCGAGAACTGGCAATTAGGGGGTTTGTGGGGCTTTTAATTACACATCAGCCCCTCTGCCAGGAGCTGGCGCCCGCCAGCCGGGGGCAGGCTGACAGCTGGAGGCCATCATGCCTGAGGATTTGGGGAACAAGGTTGGGGGTACCTTGGCACAGGGCTGCAACTTCCTCTGTGAGAGTCCAGGAACTGGGGGCAGCACGGGTGTCTAAGTGGGCGGGGCCTGTGGGCTGGCCACGCCTCCCTGCTGGGCCTTCATCTGTGAGTGCAGGGTGTCCTTTTGGCAGCAGCCCCTTGGGTCCTAAAGTGCCTGGAGGTCAGAGAGACCTGGCTTCTCCACGCTTATGAGCTAGCAGCATGGGGAGGTGGATAAAGAAAGAAGCGCATGGTGTCAGAGAGTTGCTGGGACGGATCGCTAGGGCTCCAGGGCCATGGTGAAAATGTGGTTTCTGTCTTAGGAGAGGTAAGAAGTCACTGGAAGGTTAACTCACCCATCAATCAACTTCAGTTTTACCTCTGGTCTTTCTCAGTGCTCTCCTCCTCTCCATTTCAGCTACCAGTGCCCAGGCCACTAGTCATCACTGCCCAGGGTCACTGCCATTGACTGAGTCTCCCTGATGCTGGTCTGCTACTTAATGGTATCCTCTGTCCTGCAACTCCTTACTGAGCACCTCCCAAGTGGCCAGTCTCTGCAAATGCAGCAATAATAAAGAAAATAGGATCTCCATTACCCTGAGATGCCCAAGCCCAAGTGGTCTAGATAGTAAGTAAAAATTTAAGATAAAGTTCAGCTATGAAGCCTGGAGTGAACAGGAGGCATAGCAGCTCATCAGACTGTGGGACTGTTTCTTGTTGCCTTCCTACTGAGAGAAAAAGCAAAACAAAACAAAAACAAGATCCAGTAAAAAAGCCCCGTGCAGTGGCACATTCCTGTAATCCAGCCACTTGGGAGGCTGAGGCAGGAGGATCTCAAGTTTGAGGTCAGCCTCAGCAACTTAGTGAAACTCCATCTCAGGAAGAAGAAAAAGAGAAGATCCATTAAACAGTATGAGAACTGCTTTAAAGAAAACTCACATGGCAGTGCGGTGGCACACGCCTATAATCCCAGTGGCTCTGGAGGCTGAGGCAGGAGGATCTCAAGTTTGAGGTCAGCCTCAGCAACTTAGTGAAACTCCATCTCAGGAAGAAGAAAAAGAGAAGATCCATTAAACAGTATGAGAACTGCTTTAAAGAAAACTCACATGGCAGTGCGGTGGCACACGCCTATAATCCCAGTGGCTCTGGAGGCTGAGGCAGGAGGATCACAAGTTCAAAGCCAGCTTCAGCAATTTAGAGAAGCCTTAAACAACTCAGTAAGACCCTAAATAAAAAAGAAAAAAGGCCTGGGGATGTGGCTCAGTGGTAGAATACCCCAGGGTTTGATTCCCTGGTACAAAAAGAAAAAAAAAAAAAAAAAGAAGAAAACTCACATGGGTAACTAGGAAAATCCTTTCCAAGGGTGACATCTGAGCAGCAAGATGGATATTATAACCACCTGACTATTTAGAGAGACCTGATCATTTATTGTTCAGGATAAGGCAACAGTCAGGAGCAAAGGCCCTGGGCACAAAAGGATTTGGATTATTGGAGAGACATAAGGAAGGACAGTGTGATGAGAGTGTGAGAGGCCAGAGAAAAAATAAAAAGATGAAACTAGAGCTGGATGGAGTCAGATCATGTGGGTCCTTGCAGGCCAGAGCCAGGGATTTGCATTTTATCTCAAGTACAAAGGGAAGCCCTGCAAGAGTGTTTCGCTTTAAATTTTTTAGTTGAAATATAATATGAAAAGTATACAATTGTAGCTATATATAAGCTTAATATATATTTTTTTCTCCTGCACTACTGGGGAATAAAACCCAGGGCCTTGCACATGCTAGGCAAGTGCTCTACCACTGAGGACATTCCCAGCCCCTAATTAATATTTTCATGAATCAAATATCCCTGTGCAACCAGCACCCCAAACAAGAAACAGACTTCACATTCCTGTCCCCTGGTGACAGCGATGAGTTTTTACTTGCTTTCAGGCTTTAGATAAAGGAATCTCACAGTCTTGTGCTCTCTCGTGTCTGTCTGGCTTCTTTAGTGCAAGCTCATGGTTGTGAGATCCATCTGTGTTTTYGAGGATGGCAATACTCTGTCACTGTGGAAGCCTTTTAATTGCGGGGTGTCGTGATCTGAGTTGAGTTCTGGAAGACTCCTTTGGCTCCCATGTGGGGAACAGACTGGAATGATAGGCACAGGAAGACAGGTAGACAGGCAGGAGATGAAGATACCTTGGCCCAGGTGCTGGCTGTGGAAATGGGGGAAGCAGTCAGAATCGAAATGTATTTTTCAGATGGACGTTATAGAATTTGTGGGTAGAGCCAGGCATGGTGGCACATGCTGTAATCCCAGCTACTTGGGAGGCTGAGACAGGAGGATCACAAATTTGAGACCAGCCCAGGCAACCATGACTCAAAAAAATAAAAAAGGCCTGGGGATGTAGCTCACTGGGAARGTGCCCCTGCGTTCAATCCCCAGTATTGAATAAAAGAAAAAGGAGAAGGAGAAGAAGAAGGATGACTTGTGGATAGATGGTGTGGGAGATGAGAGAATGAGAAGGAAGACTCAAGGATATGGGGCTCATAGATAAATTCCTAGGTCTTTTTTGTTGTTATTAGGTACCAGGGRTTGAACTCAGGGGCACTGGACCCACTAAGTCACATCCCCAGCCTTATTTTGTATTTTATTAGAGACAGGGTCTCACTGAGTTGCTTAGTGCCTTCCCATTGCTGAGGCTGGCTTTGAACTCACGATCCTACTGCCTCAACCTCCCGAACCACTGGAATTACAGGCGTGCTCCACTACACCCAGTACATTCTTAGGCCTTTTATTTGTTGTTTATTCTGTGGTCCTGGGAATGAAACCAGAGCCTGACACATGTTCTCACTGGGCTACATCCCCCACACTCGGTTTTTTTGTTTTGAGAAAATGGATTAGTAACAGTCCCTTTTTTGTGATGGGACACAGAGTGAGGGACAATTATACGGTGGGTTGGAGAGTTCCATTTTGAACAAGTTATGATGGAAATACCACAGGAACACAAGGTGAYTGGTTGTACATTCCAGTTGGCTTGGAAAGTTTGGGTTATGCCTGTGGTTCTAACATAATTAGTTAGCACCCCCTTTTGCTTTTAGAGGTATCCCTGTTTAAATGATCAGTTATAGGTTCATCGTACTTACCTGGCATCCATGTGGACATGGTAGTAGTGCSATCGCTGGGTCAAGTAGACAATTGGATATTTGGATCAGAAATAGAAGTGCATAGCTGAGAGCATGTAAAATCATAGGGGCTGGATAGAGGTCATCCTTAGCATGTGCAAGGTCCTGGGTTTGATCCTTAACACTCCACCAAAGTCAWGGAACTATAGGAAGCCACTTAAGGGGAGGTGATGCTAATAGAGAAGAGAGGGTCCCAGGATCAAGCCAGCAGAAGAGACAGAAAAGATGAGGTATCGAGAGGTGGAAGAGAATGGAGGGGCATGGAGTATGGATTTCAAGGAAGGAGAATGGTCCATTGCTGCCTGCTGTCAAGGACAGAGGTGTCCCCTTAGTGCTGAGCACCAGGTCATCCAGGAAGGTGGCAACTGCAGTTTCAAAGAATAGTGGGCACAGGAGCAAGGCATTTGGAAGGAAATGGGACCTGAGAATGTGTAGATACATGAGTAAATAACTCTTTCCATTGTGTCTGTGGAGGAGACCAAGAAATGGGTGTGACTTTAGGGGATGTGGCCTAAAGAAATGTCTTTTTGATTTTTTTTATTTTAAAAAAATTGTGGGGAGGTACTTGGGATTGAACCCATGGGGCACTCTATCATTGAGCCCCACCCCCATTCTTTATTATTATTTTAACTTTTGAGACAGGGTCTGGCTGAGTTTTACAGGCTGGCCTTGAACTTGCCATCTGCCTGCTTCAGCCTCCCAGGTAGCTGGGATCATAGATGTATGTCAGTGTGCTTAGCTTCACTATGTAAAT